TTTTTAAATTATACATTTAAAACTAGATTTATGTAAAACAAATCTTAGTTTTCAACTACCCGTGTACAGTATGCTTATTTTTTAAAGTTTAATTTATCAACCAAAGCACAAATGTTCATAAATAAAACACAGTGAACATGATTTTTAAGATCTCGCCCAGGGCCTCAGAAACTGTTTAATTTAAATTCTCCTATTTTTCTGACAGCCAAATGGTGTACAATCGTCTGAGCGGCTTGCGTTACTGGCTGTGTTGTAGATGGCTGGTAGTTCCAGCACTGGAGTCCAGATACACAGAGCGATAGAGAGAGATTTTGTGCAGAGAACATGATTGAGTATTAATGTCTGACAGTCACAGGAAGAAAAGGAATGTGGCCATGATGGTTTAATATCTTATTATGCTTAATTAACCTCACGGCTCTGACTGACTTTCTCGCCGTCAACATCACTCATCGCAAACGTCAGGAATCACAAAGCTTGACGTTTGACTTTTCTGTGCAGTGTACTGTACATGATGCTTTCAGTGATACGTGTGTCCTCTTGTTCTTTCTGAGAGAGTCTGAAGTGCTAGCCAGCAGTAATGTGTGCAAACACATTGCAGAATCACCGCACATAGAGGTCACACACTTATTCACTACCAGATCATCTTCATCTTTGTCAGGAGTTTTGTCAGAAAAGTCATCCGAGTGCAATGCAAGTGTATTAAGGCTCTTAGATATGAATCCACTCTTGTGTGCCATTTTTCACCGCAACTTCAAAATAGACAAAATGAGAAGTTGTATTTTGCATAAAGAACATTAAACCTATTTAGGACCAATAAGATTGTTTGCACGTGACATTATTTGCATACCAATTATGCACATATTGCCCCAAAATGATCATAACTGTAATCTAAACATTTGAGTTTGTTTGGTTATTCTTGTTCTCAGTTGTGAATCCATTACTGTAATGCAGTCAACAGGTTATTACTGATAATTAAAAATAAAACCTATTAGAACATGTGTTAATTAAAATAAAGCTGTAATAAAATATAAATATTAGATGAAAAATTAAACAACTATACAAAAATTAGAAATGTTGCCTTAGCAACTAACTGAAATAAGTTTAAGCACTACTGTAAATTACTCGAAATAAGCAAAAACTAAAACTGAAATAAATTAAAATAAACTTAGGATTATTTTTTTTAAATAATAATGAAAAGATAAGAAATAAAAATAAACTGGAAACTGAAAATATAAAGATAAATGCTTATTCAAAATATTAATAAAAAATATAATACTAGATAAATAATAGTAAAATAATACTGATCTATTTCTACATGTCATCTGAAGCAATAAACAACTCATATCTCCTTGTTATCCATGTTGATGAGAGTGGATTCTTATCTAATGACACATAAATGCATTCTGTAAGAAGCGTTCAAGAATCTCTCTTGATTTTGCAGTAAATATGATCACTAGAAGTAATATTATTAGTAGTGCTTAATGAACACATTACTAAGCATCCAGATAATAATGACAGATACAGTACAATGTAGTTTATTATATTATATGCTGATATTATATAATATTACACTATATTCATTTTTTTTTCAATTTTAACCTCTAAACAGAGAAAGGTATAAATAATAATTATACTTTGTAACAGCGTAGTTATTGTTAATTAAAATTTGAATTAATTGAAATAAAGCTGAAATATAGACTATATATAAAAATATTTTTAAAAAGCATAAAAATGACAAAAGCACATAAAAATGGTAACAAATTGTAAATAAAAAAAAAGGAGTGAAATGTAATCATTAGGAGTAATAGTAATATTTGCCTTAGTAAGCACTACCAGTAATACAAATCCAGATAATGATGACAGATACAGTATATACAATTCAATAATATTGATAATAATAATAATTTGTTGCAATGTTGTTATTATCTAAAACTTAAAGAAAAAAAACATCTTCAGTAATTGAAATAAAGCTGAAATAAAATAGGAAAAAAATGTTCCATCGGCAGCTAACTGAAATAAAAAGTTTAGTTTGAAGTACTAAAATTACACCAAAAAAAACAAAACAATAATAATAAATAAAGCTATACAGAAATATATTTCCAAAAATATATAAAATTGCAAATATTACTAAGACTTGCTAAAACTGAAATTGTAAGTCAATAAATATAGTGAAATATTATTATAATGTATTATATTTAGTGCTTTTCGAAGGTTTCGTACATTGTTCAAAAAGCAAAATGGGAGAGAGTAACTCAGCATTAAAGGTGCAGTGATACTAGACTTTAAGCATGTAGATTTACTAGAGATAAACTGAAATTGTAACCCATTATTGGTTAATTCAGCATCTTCCTTTTAAATCTCTGAAGAATAACACCTAGTAACACACTTACTGTGTGTTTAACAGGAAACAATGGTATTTATAAGTAATTTATAAGTGAGAAATGTAGCATTTGTACCTCAGAAACAAATATAGAAATAATAAAAAATATTTTTTTAAAAAATGTAAAAAAAATTTGTGATCATTTAAATAACTAAACCACTTTGCATAGATAAAAATAGTAGCATAAATAATAATTTGTTAGAGAGTTGTTATTGTAAACTAAAAGTATTGATAAAATGTTTTCGGTAATTTAAATGAAATAAAACTGAAATAAACTACAATATAAATATTAGATGAAACAGAAATTAAAATATAATAAAATTAATTTGTGATAATTTAGACACCTAAACAACTTTGATCAATAGATGAGATTATCAACTTTGATTTGATAGATAGATAGATAGATAGATAGATAGATAGATATGAATACTTGTTTGTATTGAATCTCGCAGATTGAATCTGCACACATTTTCAGGTCAAAGTTGAGCTTTGTGTTGCAGATAAAAGCTAATGCTCTCCACATGTGCTTGTGCTCTCGTTCTCTGGCGTGTGCATGAATGAAAGTGAAGTCCAGCGTCATTCATGAGATTTCAGCCAAACTAGTCTGGTAGCTTTCTCTTGAAGTAGACCTTATTTATTAGAAAATGTGCACTGCAATTTAGTCTTCAAAGCGCTGATGCACTGGAGAGGAAACACTGAATTCCACGGGGAAACTCTGGATTTGTTTGATCACATCCTGTTTTAAAAGAAAAAAAAAACGTTGAGAGGCTGCTAATTAAAGCAGTGGTGATCTGTGTCCGTGTGAGGGATGAATTCAGACCAAAGGCCGGTGGGATAATTAAAGGCATGGCTGAACAAATGAGCCATATGTCAGACTGTTGTTCTCCTGGGGGAGATGCATTGTGGGAATGAATGTTGACCGCTCAAGCTGCACGTCTGCTGAATACGCCCGTTCTCATAATAATGCTGCCAGCGGTGCTGCCAACTCATTTCAGTGTATTCAATGGCCACTTCTGAAACACTATAAAACAGTCGTTCTTCATTCGAAAATCTTACTGATAAAAAATGTAATTAAATTCAACATAGAAATAACAAGTAAATAAATATTTTTCTTTAAGAGTGTCTATTTTGATTCTGCCCCAAATAATAATATTAATGATAATATATTGTATAAATAGATCATTTAGATTTAAGAAATAAAATAAAATAAAAGGCTGTTTTACTTTAATTTGTTAATAATATTTATTTGAATATTTATCTTTAAAATAAAGATGTTTAACAGCATATTTGTTATAATAGCAGCCTTAAAAAATAAAATAAAATATAATAGAGAAATTGAGAAATACTTGAAGGCTCTTTTAATTTAATTTGTTAATAACAGCTTATCTGTTATTAGTTACTAAAATAAAATAAAAACAGCCTTCAAGTATTCCTCAGTTTGTCATATACACAGTGGAGATCAAAATTAGAGAACAATCTATAGATACTTCCTCCTCCAGCTTTCACTGACTACTTTACGCACTCAGGCTTCAGTCTTTCCCCAGTTTGATGCCGAACATATTGTTTCCCATCAGACCCAAATAAATGAAACTTGCTGTCATCACTAAAGTGAACTTTGGACCAGTTCTTCTCTCTCCACACAACATGCTCCTCAGCAAAGGTGAGCTTAGCCTTTTGATTCTTTCTGCTGATGAGAGGCTTGGTCACTGCAGAGTGTGCTTTCAGTCCGACTTCTCTTAAACGCACCGAGACAGATCCATACCCTGCTTCAGCACTGAACTGGCGAGCAATTCCAGCTGCAGTGTTGAACCGATTCCCCATTGAGAGTCTCTGCATTATCCTGTCCTCTCGTGCATTCGTCTTACATGGACGACCAGCCTTTTGGGGGGACTTGAATGAATTAGTGTCTTTTTAAACCTGCAATATTCAAGAAATCCCAGATTTAGAATGGTCAGCTTCTCTTGCAGTGGCTGAAAGTGTCATCCCTCTGGCCTTCATCTGGACCGCCTCCTGTCGCAGGGTTTCAGTCACCTCAGAGTGGCCCGCCGTCTTGCAATCTCAGTGAAAATTGGAGGAATACTGCCAGTCAAATAGTGTTTGTTTGTCATATAATTAAAGAAATTAGCACCAGGTGCCAGATTAACACCAGTAACTTGGAGGTATCTGTAAGTGATCTCTAATTTTGATCAGAGATCTTTTTCATATATCTCACACAAGTTTTTTATACTGTGCTTCAGAATACAATGAATTTATTAAATATGCTTAAAAACTGCAATTGTAGGTTGTTCTCTAATTTTGATCTCCACTGTATGTATGTATACACAATTGATAATAACTTGCATAACTTAAGCTGAGCTATTTAAATAAGTAAACACTATTAAAAAAGCGTGCACATACACACACACATATATATATATATATATATATATATATATAAAGAATTGAGATTGAGAACAATATTTATAATATTTATCTTTAAATAAAAGGGTTGTGCTTAACAGCATATCAGTTATAATAAAAGCCGTAATAAATTACATTGAGTTTCTATTTCAACTTTCCTCCAATTAAAAAAAAATGACAACAAATAAATAATAATAATTTGTTTTTCAAATACCTCTAGGAAAAGGAAGATTCTTCCACTTCCGTCTGCCAGCCTTGAAGCTGTTGGGAACCAGCAAGCAGTCTCTTCCGCAGGACGAGCCAGACTCAGTGATGGTGGACTCGCCCAGGGCCAGTGACGACTCTGTGGCCGTGATGGACGTCCAATCGCCCACCAAGGACGGTTCGAGTCCAGCGGATGCCAACGACACGCGGGCGCTCATCAGCTCCAGCCCTCGCTCCTCCCCGGTCAGCACGTCCTTACCCCTCGACCACTCATCGCCCAAGCAGCCCTGGGACCTGCCCAGTCCGTCTCAAGCGCAGTCCACCACCTGCCTGGCCCAGGCCAACTCTAGAGACAGTGTGTGCAGCAGGAGACGCGCCTCCTCCGTTCACGACATCGAAGGCCTGAGCACAAACTCCAAACACCTGTTTACGGACAGACACACAAGTGAAGGTGAGGACTACAACTTATATTGAGCTTCTTGTGTTTTTGTGATATGTTTGACTGAAATTGGAGTAACACAGCATGGCACTAGGAATGCCAAGGACATTGGTTTGACATGGACCAAGAAACTCATGGACGGATAAATAAAAAAGACAGCAGAATTTTTTTTTTTTTTTAAATAATAATAAAAATTATTATTTTTCTCTCTTTTTGTTCTTTAAAAGAACAATATTATATTTTAAATAATTTTTCTATTAATTGTATGTGTGTGTGTGTGTGTGTATGTATATATATATATATATATATATATATATATATATATATATACACACACACACACAATTAAATCTAATTTTATATAATTATATTATAATATTATATAATTAAATCAAAATTTTTTACTGGTTTTGAAATATTGAATAACAGAATCTCTGAAACCAATTTCTTTACCCCGATATAAACCTTGTCTTACACCGAAAAAAAAAACAATTGTTTGAATTACAGTGTATTTAATCTGTGCAATTGATTAACTCAACCGTCATAATGCATATTAGTTTCTGCATTGTTTGCACGATTAATGTAGACAGGAATGTATAATTTTCCAGGGTAGTGATTTAATTGCTTTTATTGATGAATGATAACCACATCTAACAGCAATACATTTTCAATTTAGAGTAATTTTAATGGACAAAATATGAAATTATCCATTGCTGGCGCTCATCAGCTTTAAAAGCAGCATGTGTGCTTTCATTTTTCACAAGAATTTTCTCAATTAAATGTTTTCTTCAAAGAACTTGGGCACATTTCCTCATGTTCTTTTTCTAATCTCTATACTCCTCCATTTCAGACCATGGACGCGGTTCGAAAGGTAACGCTGTATTCTGTGGGAATGCATAATAACTGTCTCTGGCTGCTTGCTGCATGCTTAAAAATGCACAGCAGCTTCACGATCATTTCATATTAGTGTCTACTTACAGCACCAGTAATGTCAGTTTGATCCTAAACAGAGGTATAAAAAACACAATTCAGTCCAGTTCGACCTGTGAGATGATTTGAGAAAAATAATTATTAAATAATGCTAAAAAAAAAAAAAAAACGTAGTTTTTTATAAAATTATTATAAATTATATAATTATAAACTGTAAAAAAGTAATTGTTCAAAGTTGTAAGTAAAACAAAGATTATTGGAGTATGTTTTACAAGAAAATACTAATTTTACATTTTCAAAATTGTACATTTAATTCAATGTGTTACTTGCCATTTTTGTAATTAATTGTGAAATTTACTAGCAATTTTGAAAAACTGTTTCTACACCAAACTTTTTTCGGTGTGTAATATATTGATAATTTATCATTTTGCGATTTATGATTTGGTCAAAGCAATGATGTGTAATACATACAGGTACAAAAAAAATATTTATTGTTTATCAGTGTTATTTTAGTATCACTGAGATTAAGATTATTTGTATTTATTTTTATTTTTCAGATTTCATTTCATTTCATTTTTAGTAACTTTGCTGTGTTTTTACAATTTTATCAAATTTTTTTTTTTGTAAAATCTGTATAGTTTTTTTTCAGTTTTAGTTTGAGTTATTTTAGAACTTTAACTTAAACTAAATGAAAATGAGAAAAGAGCTGAAATAAAATAATTCTACGGATTTTTATACTTTATTTCAGTTAGTGTTTATTTCAAGTAACAAAAATGTATGTTTTAGTTTTAGTTTGTATGATTTAGTTTATTAGACATAACCCATTAAAATATAATAAGTCTTTGCTTTCTAAATTTGAGAGAGAAGCCAATCTGTAAATGAAAACATGTTTTTTAAATGCTGTTTTTATTCCTAACTTGTCTTATATGGAAACAGCCTCTTTATAAGCCTTAGAAGATTGTGCTTTCTGCATGCATTTTCCATCAATACCCCAAGCTTTAACGAATAACAAATTCAGCCAGCATATGGCGACTTTTAGTCCAGTTTTCAACTTAAAATAAAGTTTGACACCCCTGTTGTAATCAGAACTTAAACTGGTTAAATCAACATACCTAAAAAAAAAACGAGATAAAAGCTGTTATCTTTCCTCAAAAGCGCATTCAGGCTACAGATCAGAGCATCATCAGAGTGTCTGCGACGTCATGCCGTTTCGTGATTATCCATTTTCAGCCTGATTTCTCCTCTCTGCTGTTATTGATATCTTGATTAGATCAAACAGAACATTTGCTGCTATTTCAATAAAGCTCTAGTCTGGACTTTCCTGCATTGAGATGGATTAGAACGGCTCGGTTGTGATTCAGACTTGTACAGGCAGTTCCCCTTCACATCCCATTGAACGGGACTGATGCATCGGGACGGCAGATCAATGCTACATGCTGAATGACTTCCATCAGCACAGCCTCTTCAGTTTTGGAGGACATTTCTCTAATCAGAGTTTGAATTAAGGCTGTATGCCAAGTGAGGTTGTGCGTCACAGTTATTTATCATCTTTCTTTTACATTGCACATGATTTTAATGGATTGCTAATGGATGCTTACAGAACTGCACATGTTTGCTTCAAGCATGGATGATGTTGTTTATGGCAAGCCTGAAATGTAGCAATAATAATAATAATCCTGTTTCTTTCAGTAAAATTACACATATACAGTTTAGATTATGGTATTTTAATTCAACTGTAACACATTCATATGGTTCATTATGCTGAGCTAACAATATGTATTTTAATATTCAAGGCAAGATCATTGCAGGGTGATGTAATTAATATTAATTATCCATTTTTTTAACTATATTTTCTTATGATATTTAAGTATTTGCCCTGAAATATCTTAAATTGTTGTTTTGTTTTTAAATTGAACATTTTTTAAACTACATTTTTAAATGTAAATATTTTGTTTTATATTTATTTAATTTTGCAAACAATATGTATTCAAATATTCAAAGCAAGATCAAGCCCAGGTGATATAACTAATATATTACTCATTTTTAATTATATTCTTCTTATGATATTTAAGTATTTGCTCTGAAATGCCTTAAATCGTCATTTTGTTTTTGAATTTAACATTTTTATATATTTATTTATTTTACATTTTTAAATGCATTTTAATGTAAATATTTTATTTAATATATCTTTTTTAATATTTATTTCAATTTTATTAAAATAATGTAATAATAATGATGATGATTCATTAATATTTAAATATTATTGTTCTCAAATATCGAAATAAAAGCTATATTTACCTGCATATAATTTTTATTTAAACATTTGAAAATATATAATGTTGCTATATCACCCAGCCTTGTGCAAGATGAACAAGAATAAACAAAATAGTCTCTGATATTCACAGGCTCTTCTTTACTCTTTACCTTCAGGTCCGTTTAACCATCTGAAGTCCAGTCTGCTGGGATCGACCTCAGACTCCAATCTGAACAAATACAGCACCATCAACAAGATCCCGCTCATCGCACTCAACTTCTCTGAATCCAACGATAAGAAAGCGCCTTCCCCTCCGTCCTCGGAGAAAACCATCATCGCACCAAAGGTCAAGGACAGAACACACAACGTCACTGAGAAGGTCACACAGGTAAGACTGTTTGTAGTCAACATGAATGCAAAACTCACTATATTAAAGGGGTAGTTGATTATGATTTCACTTTTTGAACTTTAGCTAGTGTGTTATGTTGCTGTTAGAGCATAAACAACATCTGCAAAGTTACGACGTTCAAAGTTCAATGCAAAGGGAGATATTTTCTTTTAAAGGGGTCATATGATGTTGCTAAAAATAACATTATTTTTCACAACGAAACACATGGAGTGAGCGGAGGCCGGCGGGCTTGAGAACAGCGCAGCCGGCGGATTCGACGAAGGAGCATCCGGCGGGCTTGCGGCAACCACGTGACGACCCCCGGGCTGGACTCCGCTTCGCGTGGTTGACTCCTAACTTTTGTAAAGAATATCTCTTTGGATTTGAGACTTTAGTCTTTGCAACTTTACAGATCTTCTTTATGCACCAAGAGCTTGTAACACTCCAAAGAGAAAGGAACATTTGAAATCGCATCATATGACCCCTTTGAAGAAATCGCTGTTTAAGGACTACAGAAAACTACTGTGGTAGGGACTACAACGAGCTTCTTCCTGGGTTTGTGACATCACTAACCCCGATGTTTACATAAACCCCGCCCCCGGGAACATGCAACTACCCGTAATGGTAAGGGGGTGTGGCGTTTCCGGACAACGTGCACTAGGCGGTTAGCGAATCACAAACACACTGAGCCCGCTAACCAATCATAGCCCATTGCGTTTTTCTGAGGGAGGGGCTTAATAGAACCAGGATCTCAACAGACCGTTTTGACGAGAATGGAAACAGTGGTGTAGAATAAAGGTATAATATGTGAAAATAATGTTTGTTTGTTTTTTTTTAAATGAAGCATGAACACGTTACACTGCACCTCATAAACACAATCAAGCTTTCGAAAAAAGTTGATCAACCACCCCTTTAAATAAAAACCATATTTAGTTTCTTTATACACGCTTCTGGTCTTATTGTGACCGATTCCTCAGTGCACATTACTCCAAAGACAAAAATACTCACTAAGGTTGCATAAAAATACAGTAAAAACCATAACATTGAATGAAAATGAAATAAAACAAACATTAACATTTAACAATTTTTATTTATATTTAAACAAAAAACAAACAATAAAATTACTAAAACTTTAACTAAAATAAAAATGAAAACGGAAAATCTTAAAATAAAATAATATATTATGCTTAGTTAATATTTGTGTGGAAACTGTGAATAGACAGTTCAAAAGAACAGCATTTATTTGAAATAGAAATCTTTTGACACATTATAAATGTATTTACTGTCACTTTTGATCAATTTAATACATCCTTGCTGAATAAAACTATTAAATTCTTTTTTGATCAATTTAATGCATCCTGGCTAAATAAAGCGATGAAATTCTTTCAAAAAAATAAATAAATCTTACTGACCCCAAACTTTTTGGAGGGTATAGTGTATTTATTAACATTAACATTATTAACATTACTAACATTTCTATTGCTTCGTCTACCATGTTCCATGCATTTTTTTTTTTAGATTTATCCATTAAAATCACATGCAATGCTGCCTGAAAGTAGTCTTACCTTTAGTAACCTTACGCAATAACATGCCTATAATGCCTTAAAATGCTGTCTAGTTAGGTGGCTTGCTAGTTTTTGGAACAGAGCTAGTGTGCAAACACACATCTAGCTTCATAGATTAAAGGGGAAAGTTCAATTTACACTCGAGTCTCTCACACAGAAACTGCCGCAGTGCTACTGAATTGTGTTTTGGCAATATTTGGAGATCCATTTCCCAGAGGTGGTAGAAAATCCATTTTCATGCTCGGATGCTCTTTTGATGCATTTCGGTGTCAGAAAAAGATGCTAAATATGGTTGAGGTAAGAAAGGAGATCGGAGCGAGGACGTGACACACGGACTCTGAATAATTACTGCTGGTTGCCCTGTATTCTTGCTCTCATCTTAATATCCCTGAGGTTAAGTAGTATCCTCATTAGCATTTATTTGCATACACATGTCTGTTAGCATCATTTAATCTTGGCTATATAGTGGAATTATAGCTTGTTTGTGCTCGTCCACAAGACTATTGGATTTCCAATCGAATCATGAAGCACTTGACGCGTGCAGTATTTCAAACACATTACGCTCGCGACACATTGATTAACTCAAACTCCACGGAGGAGAAATAGAGCAGAAGCACATCCTCACCCGAGGGTCTTACTGAGAAACATGAAGGAAAAACGACCGATTTTACTCTGTTAAATCAATGTGAAACGTTCATAACCGAGCACGTCGGTGCTGTTCTTTTGAACTTTCTTTTCACCAAAGATTCCTGAAAAATAAAATGTCTTGCAGTTTCCACAAAAAATATGAAGCAGCACAACTGTTTTCAACACTGATAATGATATTAATGTTTCTTGAGCAGCAAATCAGTATATTAGAATGATTTCTGAAGGATCATGTGACACTGAGGACTGGAGTAATGATGCTGAAAATTCAGCTTTGCATCACAGGAAGAAATTACATATTAACATATATTCAAATAGAAAACAGCTATTTTAAATTGTAATAATATTTCACAATAGCCCCCGGGAACATGCAACTACCCGTAATGGTAAGGGGGTGTGGCGTTTCCGGACAACGTGCACTAGGCGGTTAGCGAATCACAAACACACTGAGCCCGCTAACCAATCATAGCCCATTGCGTTTTTCTGAGGGAGGGGCTTAATAGAACCAGGATCTCAACAGACCGTTTTGACGAGAATGGAAACAGTGGTGTAGAATAAAGGTATAATATGTGAAAATAATGTTTGTTTGTTTTTTTTTAAATGAAGCATGAACACGTTACACTGCACCTCATAAACACAATCAAGCTTTCGAAAAAAGTTGATCAACCACCCCTTTAAATAAAAACCATATTTAGTTTCTTTATACACGCTTCTGGTCTTATTGTGACCGATTCCTCAGTGCACATTACTCCAAAGACAAAAATACTCACTAAGGTTGCATAAAAATACAGTAAAAACCATAACATTGAATGAAAATGAAATAAAACAAACATTAACATTTAACAATTTTTATTTATATTTAAACAAAAAACAAACAATAAAATTACTAAAACTTTAACTAAAATAAAAATGAAAACGGAAAATCTTAAAATAAAATAATATATTATGCTTAGTTAATATTTGTGTGGAAACTGTGAATAGACAGTTCAAAAGAACAGCATTTATTTGAAATAGAAATCTTTTGACACATTATAAATGTATTTACTGTCACTTTTGATCAATTTAATACATCCTTGCTGAATAAAACTATTAAATTCTTTTTTGATCAATTTAATGCATCCTGGCTAAATAAAGCGATGAAATTCTTTCAAAAAAATAAATAAATCTTACTGACCCCAAACTTTTTGGAGGGTATAGTGTATTTATTAACATTAACATTATTAACATTACTAACATTTCTATTGCTTCGTCTACCATGTTCCATGCATTTTTTTTTTTAGATTTATCCATTAAAATCACATGCAATGCTGCCTGAAAGTAGTCTTACCTTTAGTAACCTTACGCAATAACATGCCTATAATGCCTTAAAATGCTGTCTAGTTAGGTGGCTTGCTAGTTTTTGGAACAGAGCTAGTGTGCAAACACACATCTAGCTTCATAGATTAAAGGGGAAAGTTCAATTTACACTCGAGTCTCTCACACAGAAACTGCCGCAGTGCTACTGAATTGTGTTTTGGCAATATTTGGAGATCCATTTCCCAGAGGTGGTAGAAAATCCATTTTCATGCTCGGATGCTCTTTTGATGCATTTCGGTGTCAGAAAAAGATGCTAAATATGGTTGAGGTAAGAAAGGAGATCGGAGCGAGGACGTGACACACGGACTCTGAATAATTACTGCTGGTTGCCCTGTATTCTTGCTCTCATCTTAATATCCCTGAGGTTAAGTAGTATCCTCATTAGCATTTATTTGCATACACATGTCTGTTAGCATCATTTAATCTTGGCTATATAGTGGAATTATAGCTTGTTTGTGCTCGTCCACAAGACTATTGGATTTCCAATCGAATCATGAAGCACTTGACGCGTGCAGTATTTCAAACACATTACGCTCGCGACACATTGATTAACTCAAACTCCACGGAGGAGAAATAGAGCAGAAGCACATCCTCACCCGAGGGTCTTACTGAGAAACATGAAGGAAAAACGACCGATTTTACTCTGTTAAATCAATGTGAAACGTTCATAACCGAGCACGTCGGTGCTGTTCTTTTGAACTTTCTTTTCACCAAAGATTCCTGAAAAATAAAATGTCTTGCAGTTTCCACAAAAAATATGAAGCAGCACAACTGTTTTCAACACTGATAATGATATTAATGTTTCTTGAGCAGCAAATCAGTATATTAGAATGATTTCTGAAGGATCATGTGACACTGAGGACTGGAGTAATGATGCTGAAAATTCAGCTTTGCATCACAGGAAGAAATTACATATTAACATATATTCAAATAGAAAACAGCTATTTTAAATTGTAATAATATTTCACAATATTACAGTTTTTTGTTGTATTTTTACTGTATTTTCTTAAATAAATGCAGTCTTGGTAAGCAAAAAGACTCAAAAAAAAAAAAAAACTATGTATAATAAGTATCAATAAACCTAGTTCAGCCTAATTAAAATTGGCTATTTTACCCAATATTTGTATGTGCATTTTATGCTTCGAGCTTAACAGCATGCTAATGTCAAAATCAAATGATACATTTGCATGCTGTGCTATTTAGCCAGCTGCCTTTAAATCAGTCACTTATTAGGTGCCATTTCAGTTAGGATGCTGTGATGGAGGGTAGTCGCCTACGTGGACAATGCTTGAAGGTTAGAGACTTCTGTAAATGTCCTTCAATGAAAGTCAAAGTAACACACAGTTCTGGGTCAAACCGTGTAACGGGTCCGTCTTTTGACCAGCCGTGACAGAAGTCGATGACAGCCCATCCGAACGACACAAGTCCTCACTT